CACCCAGGATATTTATCGATTTTTTCTGCACGTTTAAATTTTACGGCGGAACTCTGTGAAAACACAAACTGTTTCTGCTACTGTTCTGTGACTATGTCTTTGAAGATGAATCCGCGACGGATATCGAAACGTCAGGCAAATAAACATAGTGTCCCAGCGGTCGAGTTGTCTTCTACTTCTCAGATTTAGTATAGTTGAGAAGACACCGACTTGATATGAGGATAGATTCCCCGGTATCAATCTCACTCCGCTCTGTTCCATGCATCGGCCGGCTATCCGACCTTAGCAGGCAGCTGGTGATGGATTGCCGCACAGTGACTGGCAGAGTTGGACAGCCCATCTACGTGTGCCACCCCCAACCTAATCTCTTCACTTACCTGCATATATATAAAAAAAACATACCTCTTAATCACCTGAGATGTGCGTATTCTGACATATGACGACGTTGCGCCAGTCATATAGGTGAAGTGCATTAGATGCTTTCTCCACGAGAGGCGTGGTGCTATGGGGAGCGTTGCTGTTCGTAGGGCTTTTTGTTTGGGATTAGTTTAGGGACAACCAGATGTGAAGACACACACCATGCATCCTCATTTGGCTTAGCCATTCGGTCAAGGACAGCTATGGGGAGTGTGGCTACCAGGCTGAACTCGAATTTTTGGAGCCATGAGTGGGAACTGGGTTCCAGACGAGACGAATTAAAAGTATCAACCGGATTTACCGATGCATTTCATGGCATCGTCAGTATTTTTTTAAATATAAGCTAGCTACCACCATGGCCGTGCCTGCGCTAAGAGACCCACATGTTTAATCAGTTAAATTTTTGTTTACACTGCTACTTATGCTTGCTCAGTAGATCGTACTAATTGGCGTTGACGAGGGAGCGCATTATCACAAAGGAGGGAGTTTGTGAGACACATTAATTAGTAATTATTAGGAGGGCTCTTACGCATTCGATTACACCGCCGCTTCCCGATGAACACGAAGAAATAGAGAGTAAGCCGAGGACTGCGCATGGTTGTAGGACATCCCAGTTACGATCGAAGTCCCCGTCCTTAACGCAGACGTACCGCAAATATACCAAACCAGCGACGTAATAGGTGACAAGGCATTCTTTCCAACCTGTTGTCTCCGATCGTGGCGGTTCGTAAGCTAACTGGGGCTTCTGTAACCAGCCTATGACTACTTGCTAGGGCTCTAGTTTGAGCTCCAAACCACAGCAAGACAGGCACGCATCCTAACCTAATTGGCGAACACCAATCCTCGGTAGTTAACTACCATATGTGATAGGAAGAAGATCTGTCTTTCGGTTGGTAGTGAGCTCGCATGATAGCTAAGTTAAGTCACTTCATCCGCGCTTCTAACATGACTCCTCATTTAAAACGTTTTGGGCTCATGTAATGGGCTTTGAAGACCGCATATGTGCTGTTTCTCGTGTCTTTTATCGACTTGCTGTGTTCTCGGAATCGAATTGGTACTGCACAGGTTCTGCTCACCACATCTGCCTATCTAGGCTGTTGGATTGCATCCCTACAATCCCCTAAACTGGTGTACACAGTCCAATCATGCCACTGGTTCCAGGGACATTGGAAAAAATTAAATAACGTTTTATTAGAAAATTTACTTTTAACGCAACGCGTGAGAACGAAAATGTCTTTTTAGAAGTCCTACCAAATGAAACATTACCGTGTTTTGTAGTGCATACCGCACCTATGCAAAAATCCTTACGAATGCTTCATTGGGACGCATGTTGTAATTCCTTGACTTGTTTTGTTAGCGCCTCGACACAGGACGGATATGCAGAATTTTCATCTTCGATTACTCATTCCAGTCACTGCCAAATATTTCAGCATTACATTTGAGCCTTGGTGATTCCTAGGCGTAAGTGACAGTCTTGCTGACTCCACGAGTCAAACGCAAGCTGCCTGGTAAGCATCCAAACACCACAAAAGTCGGCGTGAGTACATGTACGTCATGAATACCTAACGTTAAAGATAGGGAAGAAGGTGTGAGCAGTTTAAAAACTGAAATTATTATTAAGAACTTGTTTTTGCTTCTAAGAGACAGCAAGTTAAAAGAGCAAAATGTGTAGTTTGACAAGTTCGAGACACCTAATTTTTAAAAAAATACCTGCACGACCTGCGTATTGGTTATCAATCAGGTAGCCTGTCTGTATACCTAAACCTGGCTACACGGAGTCTGGTAAAAGGCCGTGGGCGAGGGAGACATGTCGCATCGATCGAACAGAGAAATAAAGAAATAGAGAATACTTGTTTTATTTATGATGAAAAGTCATGAATTTTCAGCGAAAAATGGCTCCATTCACGGAGAGCAAAGGATAGGCTAAGCAATGGGTCTTCGTAAAAGGTAAAAGGTCATGTAATGCTCAAAATTAAAGTTTTGCTCGATATCCACATCTACCATGGAGACAGATCAGCTTTCAACTTCTCAATTTCCGATTTTTCACACGCGAGGTAGCGGTGCTAGGAATGGGAGTACAGAGTGCTGATATGCTGATGTGCGGCAAGACAT